AACTGTCTTTAAAAATGCTCCAACATCTACGTGTTCCAGAGTTTGATCTTCATGGGAGGCTTTGTCGTTGAAAAGGGAGTGAAAGAAATTTTCTAAGAGTGATGTGAGAAATAGTGTGAAAAATTGTGAAGATGGGTGGTTGCATTTATAGAAAATCAAATACAACTGTCAAGATATCTAATATGACGTCTCCTCCTTAAAATTACATGTATGCGTCACACTGCATGACACTACATAGGAGGACAAACTATACAGTGTGACATCTCCTCTCTAATTTACATGCATGTGCCGTACAAAGTGATTTGACCTCCGTGTGGAGAATTATTTTTGTTTGAAAAGTGGTTATTTTGATAATTTTTTTAAAAAAATAGTTATTTAAATTTTTTAGAAAAAAATTAATTATTTAAACAAATTTGTTTTATTTTATTCAACAAATCAGAAATACTTATTTTCACTCAAAAATATATATTATTTACTATTAATACTTCGCTTTTACATTAATACTTATTTTTCAGTTATTATACAGATTTTATCACATCAAACTTGTGGTTTGATAGGTCTTTTACAAAAGTTATCCATACTTTTTCGCTATTTCACCTATTTTTAAAAAATATAAAAATTTGACACAATGGGCGGGTCACAATTATTTATTTATTTATTTAATATTTTTAACTTGTGGAGTATTAATGCTTAAGTGCAATTGTGTTGTTTGACCAAGAGCTCTTAAAAAAAACGATCATGACACATTAAGTGAGAAACACCGAACTAAATTAAAGAAAAAAACGCATGATATTATGTTGCTATTTCATTGCTTTATCATAGGCATACTTATTTAATGAACAACTTTTCACCATAGTCATGCATTCGTATTTTGGTTGATCTTGTTGAAAAGAGTGAGGGGATACACATTCGAATAAAATCGTGTATTTGAATAGTAATATGGAGTGAAATTAAAAATTTATTATATTAATTACAATAACGAATATATTATAAATATTCTATTATATTCTAAATAGACTATAGAATATTCTTTATATATATATTAACACTCTTTTTTTAATTAGATCATATGAGTCAAATTTATTATAAACGTAATTCATTCGAGAATCTAGAGATTATGTTTAAGAGCTTTGAGGGGCTGGTTAGGACTAGCAATGAATCAAATTAATTTGAAAATAATTTAAAATTTAGTTCGACAATTAAATCGTTGAATTATGTTCATAAACTAAATGAATTGAATATAAATAAAAAATTAAATTCGTTAATTAAATGAGTTGAACTTAAATTTTACATAGTTCAATTTGTTAAATTTATGAGTCAATTCAATTATATATGAGAAAAATTATATTTTCTTTTAAAATAAATTTAAAGGTTTATTCCAAATTTTTGTCCTATATTTTCTTTAAATCCAACGATTTTAATTGTTAATTATATTCTTAAGTGCGTAAAATATTTTTAAAAATAATTATAAAATAAAATCAACATCATATAAATTAGATAGTTTTTAAATTACTATATTTTTTAGATAAAGTTAAATTCAAATCTGATAATTTTTATTTTATTTCAATATTTTCTTTTAAAAAAATAATAATTTAAAATGTCAAATATAAAAAATAATAATTAAAAATGACTTTTAAGTCGCGAAGTAAGTGAACTGAACTTAACGAGATGAATTTAACGAGTTCAACCGAGTTGTTTGTGAACTTATAACGAGTCGAGTTTGAGCTTAAAAAAAGTCTGTGTCGAACTCGAACTGAGATTTGAGCTAAATCAACTTGGGAAATGTCTAAAAGGCAAACGAAGTTGGGAAGCGGTTTGCCAAATTTTTTATCACCGAGAAACAGTTGGTCAATCGGATAAAATACGTTGAAAGGTTGTGTCTCAATAGACTCTTGATACCATGTTGAAAAGAGTTAGAGCGATAGATACTTGGTAATGTTCTTCAAGCTGAATTTATTGGTGCGATTATGGCCATGGAAGTTGCTATTTGTAAACATTGGGACAATATTTGGATTGAAACATATTATTTGATTGTGGTCAAAGCTCTTTCCAATAAAAGTCATTCTCATGTGTTATCAAAAATCGGTGGTTAAATTGTATTCATAAACTGAAGAACTCCGATCTTATAATTACTCATATTTTTAGAGAAGGAAATATGTGCACTGACATCCTCGCGGAGATTGATCTTAACACTAGAACTTAAATAGTTTTATAGAAGATTTGAGAGAGGAGTTGGGGTTCAATAAACTTGGTGTCCCAAAACTTAAATTAGTTTCTTATTAAGGGATTTTGGTTCTTATCCCTCCTCTTTTTGTTGTTTTGGTGTTTTTCCTCCAAAGAAGTCCTTCTTGTTAGAACATAGTTTGGTTCTACATACCTATAAGAGTTTTGATGATAACAAACACATGATATATATAAAGAACATATATGCTCTCTAATAAAGTATTTTAATATGCAGGGAAGTTCTGATGTAAGAAACATAAAAGACGAGAAAAGATTTGCTAGAACATAGTTTTATTCTACATTCCTGGAAGTTTTGATGTAAGAAGATAAGAGAGTTTCACTTTGAAGATCTGTTCAGACACAACATACTTAGAAGCAAATTCGTGTAAAACGCTAAATGAAAAAGTTCTTGTTACAACTTCTGAATGCACCAACGTTGTGAAATAAGAACTCTGATATTCTGATATGTAAAGTTTTAGAAAGCAAAGAAGTCTCAACGGTAACACTCATCTTCTGATGTGAGCATGTTCTGAAGCGTTACAGTTTATTCATGGAAAATTAAAAGTAATGGTTGAATCAAGACATGATCTTCACTTTTGGAAAGAACATTAACTACACTTCATCAACCTTCTAAAAGCATCTTCGTGTGTCTCTCATGCATTGCCTATTTAAAGAAGATGTGAAGAAGATATCAAAGACATAACTACTGCGCACGAAAAAGAAAAAATATAATTATCCAGTTCTACCTTGTGCTCCTCTATTGTGTAATACATCACTTTTGTGATATTGTTTTTGTTAGAAAGCATATTTGTACACGTCTTTCAATTATTACTTTGTAATTTCTTGAGAAAATCGAGTTGTGGTTTAGACTCAAGAGGGCATTGACAATTGTCATTGTATTTGTATAATCAATTTTGATTAGTGGATTAAGACCTCGTTTGAGAGAGACGGAATCACCTTGGCGGATGGACTGAAGTAGTTTGAGTTTAAACGAACCAAGATAACCAGCGTGTCTTTAATTTTAAGTTATAATCTCAATTCAACCCCCTTCTTGTGTTTTTTCATTCTTCAATTGGTATCAGAGCACCTGGTTCTGGGTGCAAACACTTAACTGTGTCAGAAAAGATCCAAGCAGGAAAAACACTATGGTGGGACCAAGTTAGATCATCAGCAATGATTATCATGATGAGAAAGACAGAATCAGCAGTAGACCCCCAATATTTAACGGTGAAAAGTTTGATTACTAGAAAGACATAATTAGAAGTTTCTTTCTAGCTCGTGATGTTGATCTATGGGATATGGTGACTGATGGCTATATTCATCCTAGTGATGAAAACGGTTAGAAGATTGACAAAAAAAGAATGACAAATCATCAAAAGAGAGAATTCAGAAATCATCACAAGGCCAAAACAATTCTCTTGAGTGCTATCTCGTACACAGAGTATGAGAAGATCACAAATAGAGAATCAGCAAAACACATGTTTGACTCCTTGAAAATGACATATGAAGGCAACACGCAAGTCAAATAAATCAAAGCTCTTGCACTCATCCAGAAGTACGAAGCTTTCAAAATGGAAGAAGAAGAAACTATTGAGACAATGTTCTCAAGATTTCAAACTCTGGTTGCGGGATTGAAAGTTCTGGACAAAGGGTACTCCACAATATATCATGTAAAGAAGATCATAAGAAGTTTACCCAAGCAACGGAGACCCATGGTCACAACATTAAAACTAGCCAAAGATCTGGATAAAATTTCTCTTGAAGAACTTATCAGCTCCCTGAGAAGTCATGAGATAGAACTAGAAGAAGATGAACCCCAGAAGCAAGGTAAGTCTCTCGCTCTTAAATCTAATAAAAAATATAAACCTAAAGTTTTACAGGAAAAAGAAGAAAACTCTGATGGATCCTCTTCAGAAGAAGACGAACTATATCTTCTCTCCAAAAGAGTCAATCAGTTGTGGAAACATAGGCAGAGGAAGTTCATAACTCCCAGAAGAACAGGAAATCTTTCTGAATCATCTTTTGGATACAAAAAATCAAGTAACAGAGACATTGTTTGATACAAATGCAACGAAGCAGGCCATTACAAAGGCGACTGTCCAAATCTACAGAAATAAATGCCTAAAAATAAGTTCTCCAAAGATAAGAAGAAAAGTCTTATGGCAACGTGGGATGACTCAGAATCTTCTGAAGCTAAAACAGAATCAGAAGATGAACGAGTCAATATAGCCCAAATGGATAACTTATCAGATGACTCTGGATCATTTGAATCAGAATCAGACTCAGAGGTAGAAGAGGTATTCTCTAACTTTTCTAGATCTGAATTAGAAGAAAGTCTATCAGAAATTCTTGAGAGATATCAGCAACTTCGAGACAAAAACAAGAACCTGAAAAAGGATCTAGTTTGACTCTAAAGAAACTAAGAATCTGATAACAGAAAACTCTGAGCTTAAAGAAACTATTTCTAAAATCGAAAATAAATTACAAAAGGCTCAGAAAGAAACTGTCTCAGAAGTTTCTAGTAACTATGATAAGATCATAAAAGAATATGATCATAGCTTTCAAACACTTCTTGCTAAAAACATAGATAGGAGCAAAATGACTTCAATGATCTATGGAGTTAGCAGAAATGGAAGAAAGGGGATATGATATAAGGGCAAAGTATCTCAACCTAAGAAAGTTAAGGTATGGTCATAAAACACACACCCCTTTATTCTCACTTCACCTATGGTAATACACATGACATAAAATATACTAGTAAGGCCTTGTCTGCTAAACTAAAATTCAAATAGAATTTTGGAAACTCTAACAATTATGGACCCAAAGAGATATGGGTACCAAAGGATAAAATCATCTATGTTGCAGATATCTTTAACAGCAAAGTTGAAACACCAGTTGTAACAACTGGGCTCTGGATGCTCTCTACACATGACAGGAAGAAAGCATATGTTCCAAAGCCTGAAATTTAAATATGGAGGATACACAGGTTTCATAGACAATCAGAAAGGAAAGATTATTGGCTCTGGAACTATTGGTAATAGTTCTGAGGACACATCATCAGAAGAATCTCAGTCAAATACAGAAGATGATGTCACAAATATTACATAAACATCTGAAGATCCCATCCAAAAAAGACAACTCAGAAGATCTGAAAAACTGTTCTGCTTTTGCTCGTTGCTTCATCTTAATCTTCTGCTTTTCTCGTGTTGTTACAACTTTTTTATTCTTGACAAAAAGGGGGGAAATGTAAAATTTTTTGACTCCTTCTCAAAGCTCTATTCATAAATCTTCAGGGAAGTATTTTTTTCTTTATCTGAGTATCCAACTCAGAGGGAGACTTCTATGCTTTATATTCTTTAAGTATTCTATCAAAATATACAAGTTTTTGTCATCATCAAAAATGGGAAGATTGTTAGAACATAGTTTGGTTCTACATCCCTGTAAGAGTTTTGATGATAACAAACACATGATATATATAAAGAACATATATGCTCTCTAATAAAGTATTTTAATATGCAGAGAAGTTCTGATGTAAGAAGCATAGAAGATGAGAAAAGATCTGCTAGAACATAGTTTTATTCTACATCCCTGGAAGTTCTGATGTAAGAAGATAAGAGAGTTTCGTTTTGAAGATCTATTCAGACACAACATACTTAGAAGCAAATCCGTGTAAAATGCTAAATGAAGAAGTTCTATGTTACAACTTCTGAATGCACAAACGCTGTGAAACAAGAACTCTGATATTCTGATATGTAAAGTTCTGGAAAACAAAGGAGTCTCAACGGTAACATTCATCTTCTGATGTGAGCATGTTCTGAAGCGTTATAGTTTATTCATGGCAAATCAAAAGTAACGGTTGAATCAAGACAGGATCTTCACTTTTGGAAAGAACATTAATTACACTTCATCAACCTTTCAAAAGCATCTTCGTATGTCTCTCATGCATTGCCTATTTAAAGAAGACGTGAAGAAGATATCAAAGACATAACTACTGCGCACGAAAAAGAAAAAACATAATTATCAAAGACATAACTCTCAACATGCATCCCTTTCATATGTGACATCAAAAGGTATAGATATAGATACTACAAAAGATCAAGTAATATACACAAGAGTTACTAAGCTATTCCAGCAAATATAACAAAATCATAAACCATCAAAAAACACAACTGAAAAAAAAAAAAAAAAACCAGCATCTGTTCATTATGGACTTATATAATCAGATACACAATTGTTGTTGTGCCTCATCTTCAATTGCCAAAAACTTGAACTTCTGAGCTAAGGAGTTTCAGCGGCAATGCATGATCTTGTTTATATATCCAATCATACCCGCACTTCTGAACCTTCAGATCCATATCTTCGTTATCCATAATTTCAACATGCAGCTTAAAATGATCAAGATAGCTGAGAGTTTCGTCAAAAGACTTCATAATATAAATGATTGCTTCCAGAGAGTAATAGATTAGGCACATGTGATCTGATTTAATCTCAATGAGATCTCTTTCAAGAATCACTGGAATGGTGCTGTACCACGTTTTACAAGTTACACTATTAAAAATTTGTATATCTATTCCAGGTCTTTGTGCATATGTTGTCATAGTTGGGTGAAGAGGTGCAACAGAAAATATTGCACAAAAAGCAATACCAATGAAATTATTGTCATTGCCAGATATAATGGGAGATAGATCTATACTTATTGAATCACCCTCACTTTGATTGTTGCACCAACTTGGTATTTCACTTCCTGGAACTACAAAAGCAATCTCATCATTGATTGAAGTGAATACTTGGTTTGCCCGAATAAAATGTGTCATCCATGAAAAACTGATAGTACTGCCAAGCTCCCTCTCACTCAATTTAGGACAATTGAAAATGACCAATCCTTTTTTTTCCATATATTTGTTCTTTCGAAGGCCCGGATCGATAGTAGTAGGAAAAGGAAGTTGAGGCAAAGATTCTAAGAGTTTGCAATGCTCCAAATTTAAAAATGCAAGTCTGTAATGCTCCTCCAGGCTAGGCAACGTTACAAAATTGTTTCCCCCTAAATTTAATTCTTCTAGGGAACGTAAACATCCAATTGCATCAGGGAGTTGGCTTAGACCACAAAAACTAATATCAAGTTGAACCAAGCTAGAGAAGCTAACAAAGAAAGGCAACAAACAATTAGCTAAATCTTTGTGTGCGCGAGAGAACAAGGAATGGTAACGAAATGCTGTCCATTTCATGATGGAGGAGGTAGTTGATTGGGAATGTGATGCGTTTCCACTTCTATTGAAAATCCTTTGATTCTTACAAATTTTGTGACACCCCGAAAGATTTACCCATTCAAGAGAGCCGAGACTAAATATGTTGAATGGTATGCTAATTAAATCTGTGCAATCTTTCAAACTCAAGACAACAAGCTTTCTTAGAACCCCAATAGATGGATCGATTTGCAGGAGTTTCACACATCCTTCAAAATTTAGTTCCTCAAGATTTGGGATATCTCTAAAATCGGGCATTTTTCTTAGATCTTTTGAGTGGCTCATATTCAAAAATCTCAAATGGGGAAAATACTGTCACAGACCAACAAAAATAGAAAAAGAAAATGTTTCATTTTGCTCATAAATTTAACATGAAAAGAAAAGCAAAAAAGAGAATATACAGTACCTTCTTGTCTTTCCATAGTTGTTTAATGTTGCTGCGCGTCAAGATCAATTCAACAAGTTGATTAGGCTGAAACCTTGATGGCAGATACTTGAAAGGATATCTATCCCACTCCATATATCTTAACTCGTTAGAAAGATAATTGATATTTCCTACGAAATTAACTCCCGACAGTATGAGCAATCTTAGATGGCTCATTTTTGACAATGTTTCACCCATGATCATTAAATCTCTTCCTCTTTTCTTACAAATGGCTTCAACCTTCTTTTCCTAAAACGTTGAAAAATGAAAGAAAATATTTAAAAACTTTGAAATAATATTTATAAAAACTGAAAAAAAAGTTTTAAAATTTCAAGCTACTCATTTACCATATTCTCAAACTTAACATTGTTGAAATGTTCCTGGAGCCACACCCTGCTCCACTTTCTTGATTTTTCTTGAATTATTTTTGTGCCCATCTCAATCAACAAACCGTGCATTTTAATATGAGTTTCTCCCATAAGGCTTATAAGTGATTTATCAACTAGAACTCTCAATCCAATTTCAGCATGAAATCCACAACAATTAAGAACATTTGTAACATATTCCACACTTTCAATGTTGAAAAAACAAGCAATATGAAGAAATATTTCCTTTTCTGTTTTCTCCAAAGCATCAAAACTTAATCGCAACACATCCATGATATCTTTATTTGGACTTTCTCTCAATCTTGCCAATGCACTTTCCCATTCAGAGATATTACGACCAAACAAAAATGAACCCAGTACTTTAATTGCCAGTGGCAAGCCTTTTGCATAATCTAGTATGCCAAATGCCAACTTATCATAACCACTCGCAATATGATCAAGTTTAAAAGCTTTTCGACTTAGTAATTGAAGAGAGTTTTTTTCATTCAAGAGTGGAACTTTGTAAACAAAATCCACTCCATACTCTATCAATATATGCTCATCTCTAGAAATTATAATTATTCTACTCCCCTGACCTAACCATTCACGATCCACATCTAATTTCTCAAGTTGCTCAACATTATCAACATTGTCAATAATTATAAGAGCCTTTACACGTTGTAGCCTACTTCGTATCAAGTTAGATGTGTTGTAAGAATTGCATGTTAGAAGCAGTTGATCGCCTACAGTTTGAAGTAGAATTTGCTTTTGTGCACTAATTGGACCATCTTGTCTAAAACTTTTGCTTAAATCGTCAATAAGGCAGCACATATCAAATTGATGAGAGATTTTGTTGTATAAAGCAGTAGCAAGAGTTGTCTTTCCTATTCCACCCATCCCACAAATTCCTACAACGCGGACATCATCAAGTGAGTCCAAAAATAAATGCTTTTCTAATTTGTGTATAGGAGAGTGCACCCCTACTAAATCTTTTGGAAGACTTGAAAACTTACAACCTGATAAACTTATAATCTCTTCAACAATCTTTTCAATCTCTGCATGTTGTGGCCTACAAGTTTAAAACAGTTAAACAACAACACCAAATCATCACGTGCCAAAAACTAAAACAAAAAGCCATTAGCATAATAAAGTTTTTTTTTATAAGGAAGATAACTTACTTATGACGTAGATCCCAGCCAGAGAGATCTGCAACTTGTGCTAGAGCTGACCTCCATTTTTGAACCATCTGAGAGTTTTGTTGGAATCTTTGTTCATGTTTAGAAAAGGCATCACCATAAAGTCCTTTTTGATGTCTTACCTCAGAAGGATCAACATCATAGAAAACAGGCAAAACACGTTTTTCCGGTGGTTGACTGCACTGAAGAAGGATGCATTCCAATTCTCGCAAGCACCAAGTTGAAGAAGCGTAGTTCTTAGAAAATATCACAACAAAAATCTGAGAGTCTTGGATTGCTCGAAAGAGCTCAGGTGCTATGGATTCACCTTTCTTCAGCTTAGTGTCATCCCTGAATGCAAGAATACCTTTTCTCTGGAGGGCAGCAAAAAGATGATCAGTGAAGTTGCAGCGTGTGTCTTTACCCCTGAAGCTCACAAACACGTCATAATAATTTCTCCTTGGAAAAGTCACCAGAGATGAAGAGCTGCTATTGCTGGTACTGGCCATCTGAGTAATACATATGAAGTTTAGCTAATTGCTATTCAGTGGAAGGAGGGAATCAAGAGCTTGGATTTGATAGGACATAAGATCCAATGAAATGTAAAATTTATAATTAAGTAAAGCAATGAAAACGAGTAATGACCCGTGATGTCAGTAAGTTTTTAATTAATAATACTAACTTTTCTGAAACTTCAAGTGTGCTTCTTCCTATCTTCTTAGTAATAGCATGTTAATTGATTATTTATTATAAATAAACACTCAAGGTTCCTTTTCAGTACTATCTCCGTTTTTTTATTATAAATAGTTTTAAATTTTTCATACATATTAATAAAAATAATAATTATTGTATGAAAATAACAAATTATGAAGATTTTTATAAAATTATTCTTCATTTATAATATATGAAAGATAAATTTACATAATTAAAAAAATAGAATAATAAATATTTAAGGATATAATAAAAAAAATATTATTAATTATTCATTGGAATTGTAAAGCGACTTATATTGAGGACGTACAAATACTTAGAGTGAGAACAATATCTTCATACACAAATAACAATCAGTCAACTCAAATATATTAAAAGATACATGAGGACGTACAAAGAATAACAAAAACCTCTTGAAGAACCCTCTAAATCTGACTAAGAAAACATGTCTTCCCCTTATTTTTACAAAGTTTTTAGTGAATTTAGGTATAAGTAGTTTCTTTAAATACTCTTCAGCAATCATTGGGCCTTGAATCTTCTCCCATACATTTCTTGTTGCCCATGCTAAGAGCTGCATCAATATGTGGAGAAATATCTCCATGAATCTTGAAACAGATCTTCAAGTATCCTAAATTAGCTCAACAACCAAATTTAGAAATTTTAAAATTGATGGAGATTTGATTTGCTTGTTCCAGATTACATCTACTTTACCTGCGATAATAACTGAGATATATCCAAAAGGAATCTTAGAAAAAAATTAAATATGTCAAGAAATACCAAACAGTAAGACATGTTGTACCAGACTAGGATGTCACAGCATCAGCTTCGACATCTGGCTGAAAAAACTCATAACAGCAAAATTGTTATGACAATTGATGCAGATGTTAAAACATTTTGCTCAACATCAGTAGAACTATGTTTTAGTACAATTTAGCCATTCATGGAACTAACACTTTCATTATAAAAGCATTATGAATATCAAAAATTGATAATGAAACATCATGAAGCACTTGAAACTATCTACATCCACCACTCTAAGCTTTGCAAGAAAGAATTTTTCTTGAAAAGTTCTCTATGATAGATTGCAAGAGCAGAAAATTATTTGAGTTTAAGGTTTGTGTTCTTAAATATTTATTTAAGTATAAAATCATTTATTTATCTAACATTTTTTTGTTTTATATCAGAAACAAATGCAACCAAAAACCATTTAGAATATACTCACATCTATCTATAATTTGATATTTATCAAGATTCAATTATTCGAAGATCTAGCATCTGATCTACCCTAAAATCAGATATTTGGGAAAATTAATTATTATTTTAATATTTTGTGTAAACAATGTAATGTTTTGGGTAAATAATGTAGTTTCTAAAAAAATTAATTTAGTAATCCTTTGTGTAAACAATCAGATCTACCCTCGATTTTATTGATTAACGAGGGATATGATGTGTTAGTTTTGAAAATAATTAAAATGCATATGTTAAGAATATAGCAAGTATGATAAATAGTCTCACATTGAAAACCTTAATTGGGCTTGGACTTGAATTACACAACTTGGATTTGTCATACCCCAAATTTGTCCGTCTTAGTGCTACCGTCAAATTTATTTTCGAATTTGGGTGTTACAAATATAAAATTTCTTTGATTTAATTATATTAACATTCTGAGTTTTTAAAAAAAAATTGCTTTCAAGTCTGTTTGAAAATATAATAATTATTTGTATTTTTGTAAAAAAATAGAAAATAATTGTTCATTGTCATATACTTTCAATTGGCTTTTACTTTTGAATAAGTAACATAACACAATTGGTAAGGGAGAAAGGTTGATAGACAGAAGGTCATTATTATTTGGGCTAGCATTTTCTCTAAGTTTTAACCTAATTTTACTCTATAAATAGGACCCACAGGTTCAAATCTCACTCGGTGCACTTTGAATATTTTTGTTGTTACTAACTTTATTTTCATTTTCTAAAACCACAAAAATCATATTTTTATTATTAAATTATTATTTTCGTATTTATGTATTTATTATATTTTGAAAATATTATTTTTTATTAAAATATTTATTTTATTTAAAAAATAGTCAAAATAAATTATAAATAGATACAATTTAATTTGACCCTTTTATTCACTTTTGGCTAGTTTTTTCTCCAAGTTTTTAACCTAATTTTACTCTATAAATAAGACTCATTATTGTCCTAATTTTTCAGTCAGAAACATCCACGATTTTGCAATTTCACACACACACATAATCATTCAGAAATATTCACAATTTCCACCGTATCAACAATCTCATCAACAATTCTCTATCTCTCTTATAAACTAATTTGTAAATAAAACTTTTTCATACTAACAATATCTTATAAAATATTTGTATAGAATTTTTTGTTACAGGAGGAAGAAGCCTGAGAAAGGAAGAGGTGGATCTGAAGTCTCTTAGCTCATGATCCACGCAGCCAAAATCACTGTTTACGACTTTTGATTGTCCTCCATCATCTGTGTCGACCGTCGTCCAAGGTAAACTCATTTATTATTTTCTCATGACTTTTGTATGATTTAAAATAGAAGGATGTTTTGTGTTGTTTCTAAAATTTTGCGGCTATTATGTTTATGTGTTATGTATTATTATTATTTTTCATTATTAATTTTCTCTTGCCACACGTCAAATATTTATTGGGGAATGGTTTTAGACTCAGTCAATTTTATTTTTCTTTTAAAATTTCATACTGTAACATTGAAGCTCTATTAGTTGGTTATTGTTTTCTTTGATTAGATATTATTATTACTCCTTCTTTAGTTAGTTTTTATTATTTAACCTTATCTAATTTAGTCTAGGTCTAGTTATACTTAATTACTTACTTCTTTATTTATTTTAAAATGAATTTAATAGTAAGGATTATGATTAATTCTTGTATGGGCCTTACATCCATCTCTTCCATTTTTCCTAGTCTTACCTCCCAATGCAAGTCACACTCCCTTTTAATTTTAAATCAATTTTGTTTATTTATTTGATTAGAGAAATTAAATTTCACTTTAATTAATTTAGTTTTCGGTAATATTGCTAATTAACATATATTTTAAGATCATTAGTTTTTTCCTTTACCTTAAGTTAATCATCAAACTATAAAAGATACACATTAAATGTTTTCTTTTTAGCTTAGATAATTAACTCTCAAAATAACAAAAAAGTCACTAATCATCTTTGTACTTTTTTATTATTATAATTTCTCGGTTAATTCCTCATCAACTTGTAATTATTTTGGCATTTGTAAATAATCATAAGTATGTATATAATTCGAAAACATTTTTAAATTAAATTAAATTAATTCTGATATTTTTGTAAATAAAAGATTTCATATTTTCGAATAATTAATAGGTTGGCTTAACGTCTATAGATTGATTATTCAAATCGAAAAGCATTTAAAATTAATTAATTAATCAAATCAATTACTTCGTCTAGAGCAACTTAACTTTGATGAAGATCCGATCTTCTTCAACAATTCAAACCAATTAAAACAACTAACCAACTATCAAAAATCTTTTTCTCTAACATAATTAAAATTTAAGATATTTTCAAAAAAAGATTAAATAGCATTGCCTTCAAACTTAACTACGAACTGCGTCTACAATCACTCATTTTTCAAACCCAGACAAGGTTCAAGGATAATTCGAAAGTAATTCTACACAACCCTATAAAAAACATGAACCTCATACGAACTACGAATTTGGACTCTGATTCCTCATAAGAGGATACGTAGGCATACGATCAAAAATCGTGACGAGTCTTTCTAATTAAAACTTAAGATCCAGTTTACCCAAATCCTAAACCTAGAGCTTAGTATCCTTGTGAACAAGGTAGATGAAAGGTGCCTAACACCTTCCTTTCGTCTAATTGAGTCCGAAACCTAGAATCTCTGTCTGCGAATTAGGGTTTTCTGTTAGGTTCCCTTCCCTAGGATAAAAACTAATAGTGGCGACTCTTGATTAAAAAACCAGTCGCAACAGAATTATATCTAATATTTTATATCTAATATTTCAACATACCCCCATAATCAAAGTTGTCAAACATACGCTAGTCATAGTCGATCTGAATTATTCATAATTTCTTTCTCAAATTTAGGAATCTATCGATCTTCAATCCTTTGGTGAAAATATAAGTCAACTCTGCTTCACTTGATCAATTCCTTACTTCAATTTCACATCGACTTAAATTCTTCCTTAAGAAGCGAAATCTAGCTTCTATATGCTTACTTCTTTCATACAGAACTGGATTCTTCGCCAGATTATGGCTGACTTGTTGTCAATTCACAAGAGGTTTCTTCACTTCAACCTTCATTTCTTCAAGTATCAATCTGATCCAAATTTCTTAACATACAACATAAGATCCTGCTATATATTCAGCTTCACACGATGATAATGCCACCACAAGTTGCTTTTTCGAGCATAATAAGATTGGTGCACCAAATACTTGAAAGAAATATCCAGTTGTGCTTCTTCGATCTTCCTTATCTTCACACCCATCAGCATCTAAAAATAAATAACCATTACTTCTTTGCTTTTAGAGTCTCGCTGAAATAGAATTCCATACTTTATCGGTCCTTTTAAGTATCTGAGAATTCTTCTTGCAACCTTCATGTGTGATAACCTTAGTTCACTCATGTATCTACTCACTAATCTGACTGTGAAATCTATATCAGGTTGACTGTTGCGCACATACCTCAAAGATCCAACTATTTGCTTAAACAAAGTTATATCGACTTTGTCTTCTTCTCCATGCTTCTTCAACTTCAAATTTGGT